GTTCTTTTTATTTTGTATGGAGTAAAAGAGAGAGTAGAAAAGATAGAAAGAGTAGGTAGATTTAGATTATCGTTTAAGTTATTCTAGACTCAATTGAGACTTCAAACACTATTGTTCGTAACAAAGCGACTGCTGAAATATTACTGGGTTTGTCCAGTCGGCTATTTTCAATGTATTATTGCAAAACTAGTCAGTTATAGATCACAAGTATATTGTCGACACAAAATCTAAGGTAGCAAACAAAAATGGATACAAATCCTATCCTACTAATATTACAAATGCGAAAGTTTGTGAGGATGTATACGTGTGTGTGTGTGTGTGTGTGTGTGTGTTTGTTACTCTTTCACGTCAAAATGGCTGAAGGGATCGGGATGAAATTTGGAACCGAGGTAGATTATGGATTGGAATAACACATAGGTTAATTTTTATCCCACAGGAATGCGGGCGAAGCCGCTGAAATAGGCTAGTATATAACAATGACAATAATGATCACACACAAATAAATACAAAATAAATTCAGTACGCTGAACCGATTCCGTTAAATATTAAACAGGGCGAAGCTACCTACACAGACACAGTTACACGCAGCATTTTAGAAAAAATAAAATTAAAAAGTTGTTGCTCTCACAATCAGACAGGGCTCAGCAACATAACTCATTTATTCCTGTACTCTTGTATACCTGATATATGTGTTTACCCTACATGAAATTCATTAACAAAGCCGCCTAATAACTTCCCCCCACGGGTGGGTGGTCAATGGGGGGGCCGGGGGGCAGGTTGACAAACAGCACCCTGTAATGTGCTACTGTTGAATTGCAAAAATCTCATTATGCTCTAACTGTCGTTATAGGAGTAATTAACTGCCGTGGACAGCAGGTGCTGTGGAGTCGGTTCGACTAAATTTTTCTTTAAATGTCTCAACATAAAATAAGTTCTAAGGCAAACCTAATGGCTTTAAGTTAATCACACACTTAACAAGCACGGCTCCAGCACGTTTTTTACTTTGGAATCAATACAAAAATATGGGAAGCGGGGTGTCGGCGCGCCGTCGTCGGTACGCTGGCGGCACGCGGGTGGCGCGCTTACAGCTTTTTTTATATTGACGTTACGAAATATGTCATGCAACTTATGATTTAACGTTCATTTTTAAACGACAAGTTAATTGTTGGGTTGGAGCCGTGCCGGAGCCGTGTTTGTTAGGTGTGAGATGACTTTAATTCACTTCTGGAAATAGTGCAAGTTTTAATCTAGTACCTACTCATTTTCACTAGTATTGTTTTGCTTACCAAAATAAGCAGCGTAAATCTATTTAGCACACACATGGTGTCAGGATACCTGATTGCACGCTTAAACAGAATTGGAATATCAACAAAACGTTAAAATATTGTGCAAGAAATCAAGCTCTATTCGTAACTTCTTTGAATAGATGACAAAGATTGGGACTGTGACGTTACTAATATTTGAGATGAGTTTCAACATACTCTTCGGTACTTAGACTTGATACTGCATGGTTGATGTCGTTCAAGGTTCGAGATACCGGAGCCCCTACATTAAGGCAGTTCCGGATCGAAAGCAACTGCACCCGTAGGATATCCATTAAATTTTCACACATGATACCGTCTGTCAACAAGGGCAAATTTCCCTCAAAGACAAGTAAAAAAGTAGGTAATAAGAAATGTATAATCTTTAACGAAGCAAGATTAATTCATCACAGGATTCACAGTTAAGCTTAGTATACTATGCTCATTACTTCATAAATATCTTCTTTACACCCTTCATCAATTGTAATTGGAATGATGACAGGGTATGAAAATTAAAAATGTAATTAGGTAGTCCATAAGTTAGGTAATGATAAAATGTTAGACACGTATTTTTTATTTTGTTGCGGGTATCCATGGGCGGCGCTGATCGCTTACCATCAGGTGATCCGTTTTGTTTGCCTCCTATTCCATAAAAAAATAAAAATAAAACAATACTTAGATAAATCGAATCAAAGTTTAGGAGTGGCGACTAAAACGTCATTTCTACGCATAAAATCTCATAAAATGTACATAGAAGTGACGTTACGCGACATTCCAAATCAATATATCGTCGAAAGTATTCGTTTCTGTAAGAAAATAAAAAATACCTATGTGTCTAATGATTTAAAATAATCTACCAGAAGGACATTAAAATAAAAATTAGGCACCTACCCTATTAGGTATAGATGAGGTTAACATCATATTCGTCTGTTAACATTCCCCATATTAGTTGAGACTACTTGAGACTTTTTATATGACCCGATATTAAGTAGCATGCATCAAGTATCTATCTTCATTATATCCACCATCATCGGCTTGTAAATCTATTGTAAGCCTAAAAAATCAAAAGCAGATTTAAGAAGAAACAATGACAACATTAAAAACTGTTAATAGAACAGTTTAAGTATCAACTCAACACGTTTCCCTGTGCCATGGTAATTGTGTTTCGTTATAACGAGTTTTTTGGCGAGCGCGGTGACTCGACCCGCGGTGAACCTGTGTTTTGCTTTGCTCATTTCACTCCCCATAAGATCGGTGAATACGGGAATTTAACTGGGAATGCAAATGTGCTTGATGCGATAAAATGCTGTGGAAAAGGTCACGGATACAGTGGACATTGGACAGTATTTCGCAATGAGGTTGGTAGCGAAATGGAGGCGTGAAGTGTTATTGGTAATTATAATTTTGGTTAAAGCAAGATTATATATTGGAATGATAGCGAAGATGAAGAATTCAATTGTTGATTTCGAAGTGGTCTTATCTAATTTATATTATAGCTTTCTTGAGACCTATTAAATTAATTATTAGATATATATTTTTGGCTTACTCACGTTTACTCACGACTAGTTTCTACGCCTATCACGCGTAGTATGTAGCAGCGTGACAGTCACCGCGTGGTGTGTCGCGGAATTGTGCTCATGAATATGAGCCTCTAGCATGAAACTAGTCGAGTTCCTGGTCTAATCTATGGAAATGGTATGTAGAATGATGTTTTTGACAGCTTTTTCTTTAAGTAGGAAGGCGATAGAACTAGGGAAAGAGTTAATACAGGGCCGGATTTAGGGGGGGGCAACCGGGGCGAAAGCCCCGGGGCCTCCACAAGCTGGGGGCCTCCACAATAGAGACTTCGGAAAGAAAAATCTTTCAAATTTCAAATTTCAACTAGTAAACCTAGTAAACATCTTTTCTTTGATATTTTTTTTTCGCTTTTACCTTTACCTACAGCCTAAAGTACTCTATACATGATTATTTGATTATATTAATTTTAAATATTAACAGAAACAGAAATCATTGATCTATATATTTTGTTCACTCCAATCAGGCAATCAGTGAAATATCAAAATCTCAAATGGCTCTGATAAGCACTTCCAATTTACTACCCATCTTGAGGGAGTACCCCAATGGCTCAATGGCTCAGTGGGATGGTACTTGCCCGCAACCTCGGAGGTTGAATCGTTTTCGAGCGTCCTCGAAATCAATCGAGCGTCCTCGATTGTTTTCGAGCGTCCTCGAAATCTATCGAGAGTCCTCGAAATCAATCGAGCGTCCTCGATCGTTTTCGAGAGTCCTCGATCGTTTTCGAGCGTCCTCGAAATCTATCGGGCGTCCTCGAAATCTATCGAACGTCCTCGAAATCAATCGAGCGTCCTCGAAATCTATCGAGAGTCCTCGATCGTTTTCGAGCGTCCTCGAAATCTATCGGGCGTCCTCGAAATCTATCGAGCGTCCTCAAAATCAATCGAGCGTCCTCGATTGTTTTCGAGCGTCCTCGAAATCTATCGAGAGTCCTCGATCGTTTTCGAGCGTCCTCGAAATCTATCGGGCGTCCTCGAAATCTATCGAGCGTCCTCGAAATCAATCGAGCGTCCTCGATCGTTTTCGAGCGTCCTCGAAATCTATCGAGAGTTCTCGATCGTTTTCGAGCGTCCTCGAAATCTATCGAGAGTTCTCGATCGTTTTCAAGCGTCCTCGATTGTTTTCGAGCGTCCTCAAAATCTATCGAGAGTTCTCGATCGTTTTCGAGCGTCCTCGATCGTTTTCGAGCGTCCTCGATTGTTTTCGAGCGTCCTCGAAATCTATCGAGAGTTCTCGATCGTTTTCGAGCGTGCTCGATTGTTTTCGAGCGTCCTCGAAATCTATCGAGAGTTCTCGATCGTTGTCGAGCGTCCTCGAAATCTATCGGGCGTCCTCGAAATCTATCGAGCGTCCTCGAAATCAATCGAGCGTCCTCGATCGTTTTCGAGCGTCCTCGAAATCTATCGAGAGGTCTCGATCGTTTTCGAGCGTCCTCGATTGTTTTCGAGCGTCCTCAAAATCTATCGAGAGTTCTCGATCGTTTTCGAGCGTCCTCGATCGTTTTCGAGCGTCCTCGATTGTTTTCGAGCGTCCTCGAAATATATCGAGAGTTCTCGATCGTTTTCGAGCGTCCTCGATTGTTTTCGAGCGTCCTCGAAATATATCGAGAGTTCTCGATCGTTTTCGAGCGTCCTCGATTGTTTTCGAGCGTCCTCGAAATATATCGAGAGTTCTCGATCGTTTTCGAGCGTCCTCGATTGTTTTCGAGCGTCCTCGAAATCTATCGAGCATCCTCGATCGTTTTCGAGAGTCCTCGATCGTTTTCGAGCGTCCTCGAAATCTATCGGGCGTCCTCGAAATCTATCGAGCGTCCTCGATCGTTTTCGAGAGTCCTCGATCGTTTTCGAGCGTCCTCGAAATCTATCGGGCGTCCTCGAAATCTATCGAGCATCCTCGAAATCAAGCGAGCGTCCTCGATCTCAATCTGGAAAATAATTTGGGGCAAGGGGGCCTCCACTCCTTTGTTGCCCCGAGGCCTCTGGACCCCTAAATCCGGCCCTGAGTTAATACCGGGACATGACCTCCAGTATGATGAATTATAAGCACAAATCTAAGCTGAAAAATTAAGACCCAAGCATTGATGCAAAAAAAATAATAACCCCATAAATTATAATTGGAAGGGTTTTAATCAAATGTTAGATCAATCATATTGTCATCAATGTCCATATTATCGAAGTCTGCTACCCCGTCCCCTTTTTCTTCATGTTTCGAATTTTCTGGAACATTTTCCTTTGACGTCGAAGGTTCTGGCTCTTTTTGTTTCGCATTTGTATTTTCTACTTCTCTTTGTTTTGATATTGGTGTTTCTGATGGCTTGCCTACTACAGTTTTTCTTCGTTTTTCTTTAGGACTCGGCGTTATAGCGTCCAGGCGACTTTTCTGTAAGTAATTGTAAATGTTTCGATTCAGATATTTACCAACTAGTTTTTGGTTTTGGGATGTGATCTACAATAATGCATTCGATTGAGGTAAACAGCAAAACTATCTACGTAAAAAATCACACTTATATCTACAATTGAAACCCGTTTCCCATCGTCACGCCATAACTTGAGAATGGCTAGACCGATTTGGCACATTTTTTTTGTTGTGTTTTTATTGTCAGGATAAGGTTCTTATGATAGAAAAAATATCCTGAAAATATTATGGGAACGGGAGAAAACGGAATTGCGCGTACGATGTCGCGGGCAGAAGCTAGTATAAATGTGAAAGTTTTGATGAAATTCGGTATACAGGTAGGGTATGGGGTGACTTAGGGGATGGAATACTTTTTATCCCGATTAAATGCTTCGACGGGATAAAACAGGAATCAGATTCTACGCACACAAAGTCGCGGGCAACAGCTAGTATGAAAATAAATCTCATACCCTTTTAAAAGCAGTTACAGTCTTCTTACATATATTTGCTCTTCATTCACTAGGTTCAACTTGACATTAATTAGATTCATCTAGACATAAAAAAGTAAAAATTGCGTTTAAAAAACTGACTTTAAAAAACCCAAAACTAAAAACCAACAAAAATTAAAACTAAAAATATCTTATTAGTAGATACTGATAGGTTACCCACTCACTGATAGGTTAGATTAGAAGTCAGCGCATAAGTTCTAAACAAAATTATTTATTAAAACCTCAATAGATACCCAATACTAAGCTGTTTACAATTTGGTGACCATTAAATTATATCATTTTGATATGAGCTTATTTAACCGACTTCTAACCTATCAGTGGGTTGTTCATTACAAAAGCGTGCAACTCCAAATCGTGACCTCACACCGATTAGTTCATCAAACGGGTGTAATAAGTCAATTAGGCATATCATTTCGACGTGAAAACAGCAATTGCATAAATAAACAGGTCCATCACACGGCTATTTAAAGATTCAACATCGGATTTAAATTTAAAATCGTTGTTAATATAACTCGGATCGGAATACCGATTCATCGGTTAAGTTTGCAACGAGTTGTGACTGGCGACTTTTTAAATGTGATTTATAAGTTCGATTTTTGAATAATGAGGTGACATTTCGATTGTAATTTTTGTGTAAGTTGGTTGCTCGAGTCGTAGTAGTTGTTGTTGTTTTACATATTTATTTTAGTAGTTACTGAATCGAATGGTTTTCAAGCACTGCGTGGTATTGCAGTGATTTTCAAATACTTTTCAATGCGTTTTACCTAATGAATAAGACGAATCTCACTACTTACATATATAAAAATACTCAATAAAACTTAATTAGACGAGAACTTATTTGAAGAGTAATGTCGTGATGGGCCTGGAGGTTTAAGGCTTCTAATGCACGAGGGTGCGGGTTCGAAACCTAACCAACAGCAAGTACCAATGTGACTTTTTCCGAGTTATATGTACTTTCTTAGATTATCTAAACACCATTGCCAAACGGTGAAGGAATTCTAATTATAAGTTTGTAACGCCAACCTACATTGAGCAAGCATGGTGATTAATGCTCAAACCTTCTCCGTGTGAGAAGAGGTTTTGTTCAGCAGTGGGCATTTATAGGCTGTTGATGATGATGAAAACTCAAGATCGATCGAGATACAGGAGGTGTATGGAAGCCCTCTGCCTCATCTAGGGAAAATTGAACTTTTAGTCAGTAATACGTGATGGAAACTGGCTTACCAGGGAAGGACACCGTCTCACAAGAAGTTTAACATCATCAGCGGTGATTGTAGAACGTTTGGCATGCCTGTAAGTAAATAATTTAAATTGGTAAGTTTTGTAGATAATGCAAATATGGGTCCTTTACAAAGACGATTGGTTGTTTTTTTTTATTATCTGTTGTTTATTCTAGATTTTTTCATATTTTTACTGAAAAGTTTAAGATATTTTTTGAATTATAAATTGTTACACGTGTTGTTGCATGGCCCGAGCCAAGAATAGAACTAGAGGGCTCAGGTCTTGACCCCGCACTTCGATTACTGAACCACTGATCACCCGTCTTTGGTCCGGCATGGTATAAAAAAGGACATAGTTTTACATTAACATGAAGTCCTAATAAACAGATTAATAGATTGGATAAGTAAATATCTACCAGTCTACCTAATTAATTACCAACACGGAAAACACAATACATGAAATGAAAAGAAAGAAACAATCGGTACAAACTTTGCAAAAGCTTCCAAATCGGCGCCATAAACTGCCAGTTTCTTATAAACAAGTTCTGCAACAATTTCCATAGCTGGCTTTGTTATCTCCAGACCAAGGAAATGGCAAGTTTCCGTGCCAATAGTTCGGACATCACGATGCAAAGCAGCGCGAATTTTCTAAAAGTTCAAAATTAAGATAAACGCCATCTATGATATCACGCTGAAAACATTGCAACAGTATGGTATTCTTGGCTAGTTATTAAGTGTAGTCATAGATGGCGCTAAAATGTGAATTACTTTTTTCAATTGTTTTTGCTAAGCTTCAATTAGTCAAACAATATTATTTTAGAGAAAATAGCTTGATGTCAGTAATTTAACCGAAAACTTACTTGTGTTGATGATAGATTTTCAAAAGACGACATTTCTTCTTTAATCTTGTACTATCTTGTACTTACTATTCTTAGTTGGAGTTTCAATTAAAATAAACAGACATTATTATCTCTCATTTGTATCACTAATAATGCAATATGTTAGGAAAGTTATAGCAACTGAATATTAAAATACATAAATCATACTTTTGCAATATTAACATAACCTCTATAATCTAATGAAAACAAACGAAAATTCAAAACAACTTATTTGACTGTCATCTGTCAGTTCTTCATATTTCACTGTCAAAACATTTTTTTTATAGTTAGATAAGTAAGATTAGCTACTACCATATTCAGCCTGACTTTATTTATTTCTGTGTTGTATTTATTATAAACACATATTAGATAAGGTATTTTTTAAATCAATTATGTTTGACTATAAGTCTAGAAACTATGTTTAGTGGCCGTCCATGCGGATCATACAAAAATACGCCACGACAGATTCGACGTGTGACTACACGCGGATGGTCCACTTTTTAAACATAGTTTTAGCCCTTACACTTATTCAAACCACTGTCCCTTTGCCCACAAGATTTAAAGCAAAGGCTTTTAAGAGCCTTATCGTAATAGCGTTTTGGGAGGTAGGTAGGTGGTATGGGGCGAGCGGGCAGTGAATGCGTCACAAACACGCAAGAATGTTGTGGACTTGCATAATAACGAAGGTAATTGAAGCATATACTGCGCAGTCGCGGCGTGCTGCGTCTGCTTCGCTTTGAGCACACTCGCTATCCGCTGGTATCGCGCTAGTAATAAAATTGATATGGCCCAAACCGTCCCTCGTGCTGGTCTCATCGCTCTAATTGCTAAGGCTTCGCTTGTCGAAAGACTAGGTCCTAAATATTAATAATTATCGTTATTAGGTAAAAAATAAAACACCATGAATGATTTTTATATATTTATATAATGAGCATTCTGTACAACACAAGTTAACCCAAGGTTACTGAAATCAAACATACCTATGTCTAGACTGGTCGGATTGCCAAATATAGGAACAATTTTATTGAGTCTACCTAATCTTTATCTAGTGCGCGTAAAAGGTAGTTACTAAAAATAGTATTATTTTGTTTAATATCCCTTTCTATACACATTACATTATTGTAAATCAAAATTAATTTAGAAGTCATAATTTCTCGACCCAAATGTCTAAATCAATGAGGATTTTGTTGACGCAGTGATAGGTAAGGTCCTATTTTTGTAATCAACTTGTGTGCTAATTTATCGAGACCGTTTTACTGTGTCTTATGTATGGACCATTGTTCTCTATCAATCCGAATATCAACCTTAGTGAAAATGTATACTCTTCTTTTCCTGGCCACAAAACTAGGACACAATAGACGTCACGAAGACCGTGGTGCTTACTCTTGAAACCAATCTCAATGTCAATGTAATTTCAAACCAATAAAATCTCAATAATTATTCAATGTCAACACTATACCCCTATCGTAGCTGTGAAAATAGCATTTAGTTAATTCAGTATCCACGCAATACAGATGCAATGGGCGCTAGTGTTGCAACTCAAGAGTATGAAATTTTACAATACCAATATCGATCGATCGGAATTGGATTCAAGAGTAAGCCGATAACGAAAATCCTCATTGGTCAGGCTAACCAACATACCAGTCCTTGAATAAGGTACTATGATATACCTTTTTAATATTATTGTCATATAAAAAGAAACTGTTTAGTTTATAAATTATTATTATGTAACAAAAACTTCAGGTTAAGGCGAGCATAACTGTTGGCTTACATGTAAATGCAGATTGAGAAAAATTTACAAAAACTCAATGCAAACATATTCTTTACATAGAATTTTCTTTTCCAACAATAACAGAATGTATTTTGAGTATCTGATGAATGGAGCGACAACCAATAAATAAAAATGAATCATTGAAATGTAAGTGTCAGTTACTGTAATTGGATTTTCTGCCATTGTGACTGTTTAAATAAGACAAGTGTATGTATAACTCCTAAATTACTTGACCAAATGAAATAATTCTTTTTTGGCCCATTCATTCATTCTAGGACAAGGTTACAAATAGCTTCACTAGAGGACTGACTGATAGACTGACATTTTTTAATAATATTTTGTTTTGAAAATCAAAGTGACTTCCTGATCTAAATGAAATAAATGATTATGATTTTGACTTTGGTTTCTATTAATGAAAAATTACATTGGAAACAGTATCCGAGGTAACCAAAAGCTGGACTGCTAGTAACAATACATTTTTGATTGCTTAGTGAACTTAATGTCTCTCTTGTAGATGAACCTTATAATTCAGTAATAAACTTGCACAGAATATTTCATCATAATCTCAGTGACTTATGAACTTAAGAGTAATTATTGTAGTAATTTTAGCTATAAAATGATATATCTCAAGCATGAACTACTGTGCTCACAGAGTCCTTTACGTTTTAATACAAATTTAACAACACTTGGACTTCATCAGATACTCAAAATCCTAAACATGTATATTTCATTTTCGTTTCGCAAAAATATATATTTGTATATATCTTCCAGTATATGTTACGTTTTAGACTTTCTTCACGATTTGAACAACATCTTCGTCGGATAGCACGTGGTCGATACCAACTTTCTGCGGCTGATGCTTTACAGAAGACCCCCAGACAAGAGCACTGGAAACAAAATAAAAAGCAAATTACAAAATGTGTAAAAATTGTGTACATTTCTAGAACTAACAACTTTAAGTTTCTATTGACTTTAATTTTTGTAAATTTTGTTATTTTTGTTTGTTCATGTCATGTTACGCACAGTGTCTTAGTTTTTACCGTTTTTCCTTTCGAAGGACTGCAGGAAGATTCCTACGGGAATATGTAGTACCTATGTACCTCCAATTTATTTATATATGTGTTCTCCTGTGTACTGTCTCTGTGTTGTGCATAAATAGATAAATAAATAACATTTCGTTTTATTTACATATAAAAAATGCGCTATCCTGCGTGTTGCTGGAATTTGTTGTCTAGATACAGCAAAAGATCGAAAAGGATGGCATTCTCTGCAATTCATTTTAATATAACTTTTTTATATACATTTTTTTAAACATCTGAAGTATATGAGGCTTTAAATTTCATTTATAGTATCAAGGACCCATTTTTCAATACTCAGATAGATTTTAACTGAGGAATAACGTTTAATATTTCACAAGTCTTCAACTTCACTTCTTCAAAAACTGTCAACCAAATGTCAATTTTATTCTACAGTTTAGAATTAACCGATGGTTGAAAAATCGGCCCTAAGTACCTATTAATTTAATCTGGATAAAAGGTGCAAAAAACCTATAACAACAGTGGATGACACTCAGTCGAAATGACGAATTGAATAAAAACTACATACTAAAACTGGTCACAAACACACAATGCTAACTCAAATAATTACATTAGTTTTGCTGATAGTAGGTAGCGCGTATACGGCCTACATTGTCACCTGTACAAACAAAACAAATTAAATATGTGTACTTACTATTTAAATTCCTTTACAATGGACCTATGGAGTTTGTTACAGAAATCTTCAACGCTGGTGCGGTCCGCATGCAATACCACAGGCGCATTATAGTCAGGCAGCTGTCCTTTAGGCTTGGTGTATATCCTAATAAGCTTCAGATATTCCCACATCTTTTCCAATAAGTCATCGAAATTCCATTTGTGATGAGCAGAGATGGGTACGCAATGAGGTATCTTGTAAATAACGTCCAATTCTTCTATGCTGATTTGATCTGTAGAAAAATTAATACTTTTGAAATATACTTTATATAATTCTTTTGTAAACTACATTTAAAAAACCGACTTCAAAGACTGTATTTTTTTTTAAACCTTTTCCTAAGTGTAACGAAACACTTATAAGCAAACCGCACCAAAATTGGTTTAGATAACCGCGCACAAACATGCATACAACTGAGAAAGTCCTTTTTTATAGTCGGTTAAAAAAACTGCCTGTTGCTGACTGCCTCGTTGGCCGAGTGGTCGCAAGTGCTACTGCTGGGGAAGGGGTCTCGGGTGCGATTCTTGAGTCGGGCAAAGTATAACTGGGTTTTTCTCAGTAGTAGAACGGAGTCTGCAATTGTGCCTGGTACATGCCAATAGGCTCACCCCTTTTTACATGGCGCTCATAAGATAAATAGTTAAAATGTGGGTGTTACATTACACAGTGGCATCAAGTGCCGTAAAGTCTACCTCTGCCTTCTCCTTCGATGATAAAGGGTGTGATGTTGTTATGTTTTTAATTTATGTTGGTCCTGTTTTCAAACCTCGAATTAATAAATTTAAACTTACCAATCTTATTGAGTAGATAAATACAAGGCATGTACACTCGGTTTCCTTCAATCACATCAATCAGGTCGTCACTGTTAGCATCGTACCGGAGAGTTATGTCAGCATTGTGAATTTTGTATTCTGATAGAATTGTCTTCACTGTTTCTATGTCCAACTCAGTTTGTGGGCACTGAAAAGAGAATTTAAACTGTCAAACACTGCGAGGACACCGGTGTCCGCACACATATTGTTCTTTAATTGTGTCTATAATGACGGTACTCAAAGGGTTAACCCGTTGAAATTCATACCCTAAATTTGTTCATACAAAAGTAGTCTCTAAGCATTGGAAAGAAGGTCTATAATGTAGGTAGTGGAGAGCGGTCACCGGTGATCGCTTGGGGATCTATGGGTTTAGTTGATTTTAATTACTAGTTGGTACTTATGTTATTCAGTTCTCTTACTAACACCTAACCTTCGAAATCTACCAATGGCAAGTACCAATGTGACTTTTTTCAAAGTATATGTTTTTTCTAAGATTATCTAGACACCACTCACAAAGGTTGAAGGAAAACATTAGAAACCTAAGCTTATTATAATTTCTAATTATAACTTTAAAATTGCCAACCCGCATTGAGCAATTGTAGCGATTAATGCTCAAACATTCATCGTGTGAGAAGAGGCATAATTATGGTCAACAGTGGCTGTTGATATTGATAGATTCATAACAAATTTTACTTAAAAAAATAACGATAGTACGAAACTTTGCATGCCGAAAACAGTAGGTGATGTATGTGGGACTATTTTTTATAATCATTATCACCTGTAATTATCATACTTCATACAAATAAACATTTTTATTCTTATTCTTAACATAATATGTGAAAACTTACAGTAGTATTCAAATTAATTCCACCCTTATCTTTTTTCCTAAAATGTATGTTCGGTGGTTGTTTGTTTAACCTCAGTCCGAAGCCTTCCAACTCGTGTTCAATGAGTTTCTTGTGCTGCAATGGCTTTAGTACATCAAGTACTATGAATATAAGACTGCATGTTCTGGCGACGGCGATTACTTGACGACCACGACCCTTGCCGTCTTTAGCACCTTCAATAATACCAGGGAGATCGAGCAGCTGGAAGTACACAGAGTACAGAGGTGAATTATATGAAAGTACAAAGATTATAGAGGGTAATTAAATTGACATCATCATAATACAGACACAAAATGTCTGTGGAACATAAGCATTTGATTGATTTGATTATATATTTGATTTGTATATTATTGGGATAGAAATCTGCTGATTGAAATCCTCTTTTAAAGTATATTAAAATTAAGCGGGTTCATTCTGTAGTAACCTTTGGGACAATTCCTTATCCACTTTGGACCCGTGCCCAGAGCCCCCATCCTCAGGGAGTCCCGAAGGACCGACAATTTCTACAATGGACACACACTTTTTTACCACAAATTGTTATTTCAGGTCTGGATGTCATGGTGTATATAAACTTTTATGTTTGTAAATGCACCCACGATACAGTAGAAAATCTAAGTGCAGTGCAATGTAAAAAAAGAAACATTCAACAAGGACACCAAATTATTGGGTGCCCAAAAGCCCCAGCTTAGTCTAAGACGGCCCTGTGTATACCATTGAGTAGACCTAAGACGTTCACTTTTGATCCCATCATAAGTAGAACCATTTAGATTGGTATTCTTAAAATGTCTAATACTTACTTATTAAATAAAGGTTAGACAGATTATCTAGGCTTAAAATCGTAACAATACTAAAAGTACTTAAATAATAAAATTAAAAACAAAGAATATTTGATATTGTCTCTGCATCACCCAAAGGTACGGCTGGATGAGAATGCCCATGGTATTAACCCAATGCAGATCTACATGAGACATAATATGTTTTCTATTGTGTCTCATATATAGGCATACAAGAGGTTAGGGCTTAACCTTATACACAAGTATGTGCATATAGCCTTTAAAAAAAAACAAAATTTACCTGAATCTTAGCTCCCTTATACTTGATACACCCCGGGACTGTTGTCAGGGTTGTGAACTCGTATGCTGCCACTTCTGAGTACACTCCAGCCAGGTTAGATAGCAATGTAGATTTCCCTACAGACGGAAACCCTACAAACCCGATACGGGCATCACCAGTTTTGGCGACATCGAAACCTGGAAGTAAATTGAATAATATTGTTAAATAAGATGTTTCTGTATTAATTTGATCAATGAGCTGCATAGAATGGTGAGTCTCTTAGGTGTTATTGTTTAAAACTTATCTTTTTAACCTTTTTCTAATTATTTTTTGTGATTATGATTTTCAATATCTGTTGATTGTCAACTTACTATCAGCCGAAACATATTATCTAAAGCATGAAAGTCTGGTTTAATACTGATCATTATAGTTAACATGACATAATCATTCTATTCAATATGCCATATTGATATGTAGTTTTGTAAGAAGTTAAGTTAAGTTTCTCATATTTAAGTAAACATGTATGTTCTTTTGAGGAAATAAATTTCTTTAAACCATAGTACAAGAAAACTTTAGATATAATATTTTGTTTTAATTATGTATCACTAATGTTACTGTTACAAAAGAATCCTAAGTCGTAGGTACATTGATTAACAAGAATTTTAATTGGTCATCCAAATAATAGCTACCTAATTAGATAGATGTTTTATTAACAATTTTATTACCTTCGCCCGTCGCACCGCCGCCACCCTTGGGAGTGATGAGTTCTCGCCTTAATTTAGCTAACCGGGCTTTAAGTAGACCTAAATGAAGTGCTGTGGCTTTATTTTTTTGCGTTCGAGCCATCTGTAAACAAATACATGGTTGCAGTGTAACCATTTACTTACGACGCTAATGCGAATCATAGTAATACATCATGATCAAAGTAATAAGTGTATATTTTTGTTTTTTGCACAATTAATTAGAAAATTGTTCAATCAGTAATATAACCTCTACAAACCTCGGACTCTATAGCCGCAATTTTCTCCAATATTGTACTCATTTTCGCGGTTTTTCTTTAACTAGCTTACTAATAACACTGGGAACAACAAATAAGTTATAATCTAAGCTAAATCTTGCTACAGTTAATATAAAAATAGAAGGAAGCGTGTCAATTTCTATTCGTGTACAAGTTTCCAGAACACGGCTCAAAGAGTATAATAAGTATAGGGGACACGGCTTTGACATGACAGTTCGTGTCCAACTTTGCCATCATTTGAGTTTTGAGTTGACGTAAACTTGCCATGTGCAAAAACTATTTTCTTTTTTGCATATTTTTAGAAGATAAATTTCATGAATATTAATATTTAGTTACAGCTGAGGTTACATAAATATTTTTATTGCTCATCAAAATATTTAAATACTGGATACAGACATTTATGTACTACGTCTAGTGTGCCTTAGTAATTTTTCAACAAACTGCTAGATGGCGCTAAATGCAGTTAAAATAAACTTATCACGTGGAAATGCTTTTCCCGCAGGTTTGCGCAGCGTAACTAAAGGAAAGGAACAGTGGAAAACTGTTTGCTGGGCTGGGTCCGCTGGGTATGTTAGACACGGCATGCCTCAGTACCACCTTAGGCGTCGGAGGGTAGAGTTCGCTTCGCTGTTTGCCTAACCGACTCAAGTTACGAACGTAATCTTGTTGGAAAAATGTTTTCCCCGAGTATCCTTGTTGCTTAAATATTTCAATGTGGTGTTTAGGGATTATTTATAATTCTATTAAATATTTTTTGTGTAAATATTAGCTTATAAATCTTGAATTTCTTTCGGAATTCTTTCGGACTACGTAAGTGTGATGTAAAAGTATTAAACTAGTTATAATGTATGGGTAAAATGAATTAGTGTGCGGTAAATGTGTATTTAAAATTTTGGTGAGTTGGTATTTAATTATTATCTATGTCTAAGTATAAAGTAACTTCTGTTTTTCTACTTTTAACTGGTTCAGGGTAGGTACAATTAAGGGTAGACTATTAACTTCCAACTACTGAGAGAAATATTAAATCATTTTTTAACTATCGACACAATTTTATTAATAGGTAGGAGAAAAGGATAAGGAGTATAAACTTTCCTTGATGTTAAAATTATAAGGCGTTAATTCTACGTTTTTTCCAATATTTTACGTACCACGTAGGTTAAAATCTCAGATGTGTATCAGAGCATTTGATTATTTTTATATATCAAGGTCTGCAACGCATTTGCGATTCTTCTCTCAGATACCGTAGTATCCGCTTACCATCAGGTCAACCATCTATCTTCTCCTTTTATATGTATAAATGAAAATTAATTTCCGTTCATTATTCTCGCTAAAACTCGAGAACGGCTGGACCGATTTGGCTAATTTTGGTCTTGAAAAATGTTCGTAGAAGTCCAGAGAAGGTTTACGTGATGAGAAGATTTTTTAGACTGTACGATGTTTCTGGCAAACTACGTACCACCTAAGAATATTTGTCAGTTAGTTAGAATAAAAAATAGGTAATTTAGATAAGGATAACGTGACAAGGGTTTTCATAGTTGTATGTACTGCAGATCCTGGCTTACAGGAGTTGTATCGGTTTTGGGAGGTTGTGGCGGACCTATAAAAAAAGGTGACAAGGTGGAGGCCATTATTCAGCAATGGACATCTTCTAGCTGATGATGATCATGTTGATGAAATAGGGTGACTAGAAGTAAAACTTCTCGGTTCCAATATCGAGTTAAATAAACGTAAAAGAAAGACCTAGCTACAAAAAAAGAATTGATAAAGCTCTAAGAAATAAATCAGATATTCGTTTTTATGTTATGACTGTCGTTCGAGGCACATCAATGTCTTATGTCACGGATTTAAAAGCCATGACTGCTAAGACACGATATTTTAGTGTCTATTCGAAATGGGGACCTATAAACTTGAGGATTTAATGTTGGTTATTCAATGAAGAGTATCTACTGGTATCTTTAGAGACTAAGGGCCTGTTTTAAAATGGCTGATTAAGGTTTTATTGCTTGCTCAAACTGATTGATTTTGACATAGTATCTTCCATTCGAAATAAGTCAGTAGGTACCTATCAGTTTGACTAACTGGTAGTTACCTACCTAGATTTTGGCGTAGGTATATTCCTTTCGAAATAAGTCAGAACGACCTCTTTAGACTTGGTGAAATTAAAGTAAATTTGACTACTGACAATATTCCACTTTAAGCAATTTTTAAGGTTAATTAGCAAAAATCACATTTTTGACTCTCTCGTTGGAGAGGGACTTGTTGGAGTGGACTTGTTGAAGGCTAAACCAAAAAAAGGAATAGTTTAACCTATGTAGAAAACTCGTTATGGAAAACCGGTACCTCAATTTAAGGATTGATTGATTAAATGAAAATTGAGGGTCCGGTCACTCTTACTGACTTAAAACCACTACGTGGTCTCTTCACCCAAATATCTTAGGGGCAAATTTTTCCGTAGCAGTTTCTCAAGTAGCAGCTCGTGTCCACTGCTCATAGGGTTCTGCTTCATTTTGTTCAAAAAAAAAAATCTTCGAATTGAATTTGGAATAAATGAAGTTTATTTTTAGTAGTTCCGTGTTTAAAATTTTCCCTGGCAGCATGTGTCCACTGCTCATATGCTTCATTTTTTTTTAAATAAAGAATAAAATTCAACGGTTTGTTTTTGGAATCAAATGAAGTCTATTTTAGTAGTTCAAGTCTATTTCAGTGTTTATGGTTCTTTCCCTCCATGTGGCGTTGTTGTAGGACACCCTGTGTGTAGTGTCTCTGTTGTGACGTAGCCATTTTCGATGATTTATTATTATAGCGTGTTCACTAAAGAGGTCAGAAGCTCGTTGGTCTGTTAGAGGTGTTTAAATTTTTAGACCGATGTAAAGGTCTGACCAACGGTGACCGTTATGTTTAATAGTGTAGCATGAAATAGAGATTTTAAAGAGTTTATTTTCAGGAATAGATATTTTATAGGAAGGATTTAAGGACGTTGAAAAAAAGGCGGATACAGTCCTTGAAACAACGACTGTGGCACCTGGCTACTATAGACTTACACGCAGAACATGCACACATTGACACGAAGGACATCTGCGTTTTCTTAAGTCTAGTAGTGTGGTAACACACGCACACATAAATAACCCACTGACATTTTGATTGCTTCAATCATTTGTAAGTGACATTATGTTCGCCTTTTTTCAACGTCCTTGGGAAGGAACCTATATTTTTAGAAGAACTGTAACAACTAACGGCCGATCTCAATCCGAAATAATTCTACCCTATCAACCAAATCACACGCAAAACAATCACCTAATATCCATAAAAAAGTTTGCCTTGAAAAAAAATCAAACCATATATATAACTAACGAGTTACCCAAATATAAATACAAACACAAACATATATCAATGGAGGCTCATTCTAAACTGATTCCCTAAGGCAACATCTTTCAATTAGGCTTCACAAGTGGGGCGTGGATTCGTTAAATTTGATACTTCGACATGATTCACGTGTCACAAATAGTTTTGGTCCAACTGCCTTTGATGTATGGGCTTAAAGCCGAAGGTATCTCCTTTGGGAGACGGGTATTTTTGTTTCAAAATGATATCGAAGCGTGAAAGGGATTCGGAATTTTTGTGCTACCTATTTTTGTTGGTATTTCGGATTACCTATGAACCTACTTTTTTATCTCCTTAATTTTATTTTTCAGGGGGTTTTTGTCCTAATGGATACGTCAACCCCATCGTACCTTATCACGTTAAATATACTCTATGTAAATGAAATTAAATATACTATATGTAAATGAGAGGGAATCAATAACAAGGTATGACATTATATCAGAAAAGTTATGCCACTCTCACCAATGAACCTACTTAGGAAAATGTTTTTGAAATAGAACAATGGAAAGATTTAAGTTTTTGTGTGGTTAAGGAAGGTTATACTCATCATGGTGTCCCTTGAGAAGATCAGTAGGATCGGTAGACTAGGTAGTAGGTTTTGTATGGATCCGTGCAACGAGGCTCAAGGGAGACCCTTTTATAGTCTCCCCTGGGATCAGGCCTTTTGTGTCATTGTAGGTCTTTCTGTCTCTTGCTTGATGAGGAAGGGTAGTGGCATGGAATAAGGTTCAAAAATCACTATACCTTCGGTAAACAAATACGATAATTATAAAAAACAAGTTTTACCTAATCATAATGAGTGTAAGTACCTACATAGTTAAGTTATAAATCAGTTTCTTAATTTGAATCATATTCTCAGTAAATTTTTTTTAATACCACGATGGTGCCAAAAGTAGCACACGGCCTACATAGGGGCTTACTCTTGAAACCAATGTCAATGCAATTTCAATCCAATAAAATCTCAATAATTATTCGATGTCAAAACTATACAACTCCTACCGTAGCTATTTACTTATATAGCATTCAGAGTACGGAATATAAAACCAAACTCAATACCATTTAGTTCATTAAATATCCACGCAATGTGGATGCAGTGGGCGCTAGTGTTACAACTCAAGAGTATGAAATTTCACAATTTTAATAATGATCGATCGGAATTGGATTCAAGAGTAAGCCACCTGATGGTAAGCGGTTACCGTGGCCTATGTATGCTTGCAACACTTGGGAAATTACTTGCGCCTTGCCGACCCTTAAAAACCTATTTATTCCCTTCTTGAAGAACCCCATGTGCGAAAACTACGGCAGGGAGTTCATTCCACAATTGGAGGGTCCGTGGGAGGAAATGTTAAGTGCATGTACACTAGAACACATGTAGGTACATGGTATATCTGATTGAACAAGTAAGAAAACAAATAAGGTTCTCTGGATTTCCATAACGTTCTTCTAAGATTTTATGTTCCTAACTGATTACGTAAACATATTGATTAAAAAAAAACAATATCTAAATTGCAATTCAGCCAAGCAATATCCAGTTTACGACCTCATTTTTTTCCAGTGTTATTATATTTTCAAGATTATATTATCACCTACTCCGCAAAAGTCAAGTCTCATCTTGTTAAAAGTTGAACGATTTTATCCATACTTAAATAACTGAAGGGGATCGAATACCATAAATAGCCAAGTTTTATTAAGTAGGGTAGAAACTTTATACTCGCCTACTTACTTATTATATTTCACGTAAGTAATTCATGATAAGTAGGTATTTTATATTTCTCAAATGTCGCCTTTAATAGATATTTCTTTATCTGTTTGTAACTTATAAATAACACATTTGAGAACGCAATGACTACTTAATTTTAAACGTATTTTTTTTTTGTTCCAGATCATAATGAATGTTCATAGCAAGTAGGATTGTTTAGAAAAAAAAAACAACATTTCATTTTCCGAACGACAAAAAAAGAAACAATGGACGAGACAAAAGCAATAAGAATAAAAAAGAAAAGTGAAATGTCAAGTTGTTGAGGGTAATTTTAAAAATCGAATAATTATGTCGTCTGAAGTGTCGCTGGAAGGTCGAGAGCGGCCAGGATTTGTGAAGCGAGCGGCCGCCGCGTGTGCAAAGGCGGCATTTTCCCAAATTGGCCTGGTGATTTTAGTGGTGATATACGTACTTCTTGGTGCAGTGCTCTTTGAATATTTGGAGTCCGGTCCCGAGGTGCAGAAAAGGTCTGCCATACAGAGATCGAGAGAGGAGTGCTTGAAAGAGCTCTGGGCAATAACAGGTAAGAGTAGTAGGTAGTTAAAACTTACTTTTTTTTCATATTGTATTGAATATTTGTTTAAAATTATTTCCTAAAAATGAGAACACTTTAACCGACATACGCATAAAGTATTTTAACATAGATAACGAAGGACAATTTACTCAAAACAAAGACACAAAATATCAACAATAATGGAACTACAAAGGGTCAAAACCCTACACCGCATATTAAAAACAGATATGTAACGTAACTGTGGCCACAAACATAGTTATCTATTCAATCGAGCGATTCGATAAGAAAACTATTGGACCGTACAAAACTTCCTTTTGACTATCTAACCTACAGGTGGATTGCCTTTCATATATGATTTCCCCTGAGTAACAGTGATACGATGAAGAAAATACGTCATTCGATGGAATCAAGTTGGTATTATTGGATATTATTTCCGTGGCACTATGATATTGTGCAGCTTGTGTAGACCAGCTGATTGGTTGATCATCTTTAAGTCTTCGATTTTCTGTAGGTAGATTTTTTGTATGGGATATGCCGGTAAATGAGCAGACGGATCACCTGATGGTAAACAATCGGCGTCGCCCTTAAACATCAGAGGCGTTACAAGTGCGTTACCGGCCTTTTGGGATTAGGAATTTGAGGATTGTTGAGGATTCAGGGATTGGGGAATGAGGGGGAGTAATTGGGCTAAATAACCTCACTTACACGACGAAACACAACGAAAGCGTTGTTTCACGTCGGTTTCCTGTGAGGCCATGGTATCACTCCGGTCGACCCGGCCTATTCGTGCCGAAGCATGGCTCTCCCACACTTGATCTATTTTGGTTTAACAATTGGTTTCGAAAACCATAGTGATACGTCGACCATACACAAAAACAGCATGTAACAACGCTGGTATTGTGTTTTGCCAAATTACTGGAGATCCAGATCCCCTAAATGCCAGTAACGCATTTGGAATTCCTCTAGTATTGAGTGTGTTCATGGGTAGCGCTGATTGATTACCATCAAGTGATCATTACCCACCAATTCAAAGTCAAAGTCAAAGTCAAAATAATTTATTTCAATTAGACCAGGAAGGCACATTTGAACGTCAACAAAAGTCAAAGTCAAAATCATTTATTTCAATTAGACCGGACCAGACCACTTTTGAACGTCAACTTAAAAAAATTTGAAGTGAAGCTAGTTGCTCATTCCAAGGTGTAGATTCCTATGGAGAAGAACGAGCAAGAAACTCCATAGGTTACTCTTTTTCAATAGGGTTTACAATCTCATAAGCATCCTTAACTGTTAATAAAATGATAATCTTTTTTCTATTAACATGAATAATGTAGATACAGGAAGCGAGTTGCTATAATGAAAATTATAGCAACTCGCTTCCTGTATCTACCATCTAACGGGTTCACGTTCATACATAAGTGGCAATTATTACTTAACAGCCTTTGATCAATGAGTCTATAGTATTCTGAAGTTGTAAAGAGGTTCTCGCTTAACGTGTCTCATCTTATTGTGAAAATGGCGCCGAGAAGGGAATTTTAATGGCGTTTATAATTGTCGTGTCGATTTAAAGCTAAAGGCCAAAGTAAGAGCGATTATTTTCATCAATTGAATCTTGGATCGGAAAGGTTTTCTAAGAGTTTTCTGTGAGAAGTATTTGTTTGTATTTATTATTATTTATTTATTTATCTTTAAATCACACAGGTAAGTATGTCATAATTTAAGCCCCACAAAACTGTTGCAATGGTTTGACTGTGGGGTCGAATCACTAGGCATTACAAATAAATGATAATAATTTGATACCTAATACCTATTTTTGAGTAGTTTTGATACCTATATTTTATTAAGAACTGCTTGTAAACATACACCTGATCTGAATACTAAAAGGCTACTCCATTTTAAGTTTACTTAAATATCGTGCCATCTCTGTCATTTTAACAAGAATTTGTAGAGACAGAACTACTTAAACGCAATTTAATATTGAGTGACGTTTCAATATTCGGGCATAAGATCAATTACTGTGAGTGATGAAGTGTTAGTTTTAAAATACTTAGTTATGTTTTCTAGTTGACAGGATACAGAGCAATTTAAATATGTTTGGAAGAAATATTCTGCATCATCGCTTACCATCAGGCGAGATAGTGACCAAACGTCGGCCCATTAAATATAAAAAACGGTAGTTTTATACAATACTAGCTTCTGCCCGCGACTTCGTACGCGTAATCCCATTTTTTCTCGTCCCAGTTCGTGATTTTCGGTAAAAAGTAAAAGAAAAATGTTGGTTATACTATGTCGGTCTCCTGGCTCTAAGCTACCTCCCTACCAATTTTCAGCCAAATCTATTCTGCCGTTCTTGAGTTATAAGTGGTGTAACTAACACGACTTTCTTTTATATTTATAGATTACTAGCTTCTGCCCGCGACTTCGTACGCGCAATCCCGATATTTCCCGTTCCCGTTCTTGATTTTCAGTAAAAAGTAAAAAAAAAAATTGGGTAAAAAGTATCCTATGTCCGTCTCCTGGTTCTAAGCTACCTCCGCACCAATTTTCATCCAAATCGATTTAGCCATTCTTGAGTTATAAATAGTGTAACTAACACGACTTTCTTATATATATATATAGATATATATACATATATATATAGATTACTGAGTCGATTTCGTTTCGGTAAAAATATTGCATTACTTTATTTGTCTGTCATACAAAACGACGACGTTACTTGTAGGCATTTTATTAATTTAGTTATATCAGCCGTTCCCGCCACCCGACAGGCGCCATGACAGGCCAGCTCAACCGTTCGAAATTTAAATTAATTTGTATTCCACATTTAAACAGGGAACAATTGGCATCGTCAAGTTGTTAATTAATGATCAACAGATGTCGCTTATTGTGGCTTTTATTTTTTAAATGTATTAATTGAATGAAATAATTATGATTGTTAATCCGAATTTAATTGGTGTCAATTATTAGTTATTTGCTTCAGTATGGTAATAACTTCTATTTGCCCTTACCTTGGCCTCTTGGCAACAAACGAAACAATACAGTTCCGACCGAAATATGTTAAAACTATGAGAAAGACGACATCTGTGACATGTACTGGCCACAGTAACCTTACAAGCTAGGAGACATGCCACCGAAGCCACGGGTCTACTTACTTATATGAAACACAATGCTTTAGTATTGTTGCTATGCAAAAACATCTAATTTTCAAAGAACTGTGGAAACCATTGTTTGCTTTTCTAAAAGTTAAAGTTAAATTAACTCCTATGAGAGTCTAGACGTTTTGCAAAAGTCAGTGGAGATTCCTAGAATCCTATATGTTTAACCACAGAACATTATTATTTAACATCAAAAATGTACAAGTAGGCTTTATATTTTATACTATATTTTTGTTCAGTGTGTGTTGGGTAGGGCAAACGAGGTAAAGTATTTTGTAAACTCCTAATGTAGTATAGCTTAAAATTTATTCGCTATTCGTTTATCCAGACTGATGTTTTAATATTGTGATCATAATATTAAACTGTCAACCACAGAGCGGTCACCGGTGACCGCAACTTATTGTTCTTTAATTGTGTCTATAATGACGGTACTCAACGAGTTAAGGGAGGAGTAGCTGCATGTATAAAGTTTCAGCTTATGTTTAACTTAGCACCAAATTTCGTAACATACATAACGTTTTTATAATAACTATCGTGAGACATACTAAACTAACTAAAAATCGCCACTGAGGGGTTCTTTCTCATAAGCTGTGTGCGCACTCGCGGCGGTGTCCATCCAAAGAGCCATCAGACCTCCACGGATGGGGCCCAACAGGGCTGATGTCGATTCGGAGTCGCGGAGAGAACCTAACGGGTTACCGGAGCTCCGGCTCGAAGTGCAGGAGAAGGAATGGGGTAGTTTTTAACCAGTATGAGTCTGACACTCCCTCCCGCCTCACCCAGGCGGGAGAAGTCATTCGATGATTTTCCCCCCTTAAAAAAAACCGTAAAGTCTTCTATTTTAATAACAGTTTTTTCAAAAACTAAAATCGGTTTCTAAACTAAAAATTCCATGTTATACTGTAACAGAGTTTGTATTAAAATAACGTGTCAAGTTTATCGTTCAGTTTAAAAGCAATTTCCAGGCTATAATAGCAATTTTTAATATTCATGTCGCATGTATGATGCTGGGATAATACTAGGGGAGCATGGGATGAAACCTATAATGTTTTGATCAAGAGTAAACTGATTTCTGAGTTTGTGAATAAACTATAGATTTTACAAATAGGCCGGACCGGAGTGATACCACGACCTCACAGAAAACCGACGTGAAACAACACTAGCGTTATGTTTTGTCGTTTGAGTCAGGTTACCGGAGGCCTAATTACCCTCCCCTTCCCCAATCTGCCCATTTCCTGAATCCCCAACGATCCTCAAACTCCTAATCCCCAAAAGGCCGGTAACGCACTTGTAACGCCTCTGGTGTTCCAATTAATATTAGTTATTTTTTCCTCTACTGTTTACGTTATCTGCATATTAGATACATGTTACGTAACACAATACTCTAACAATAATGACTATGCTTAAAAATTATGCTCAGAAATAACCAAAGAATAGTCTTTTGTGTAGACAAACACAAGTGAATAATATATCAGTAACCAATTAAGTATTGAGATGTCCTCTACAACCGACCAGCTGGCACCTCCCAGTAGGTCCGAGATAACTTATGAACTGCATAATTCACAACACGACACAATAGGAGCCAGTACAAAACTGTCCCTTTGTCTTTATAAGTGCTCGGCTCACAAAGAAACTCGGGCGCCATACTTTGCCAGTAAAGGAACATTTCTCTCTTAACAAGAAATGCTTATAATTTGACGGAATTTGTTATCCGTATACAACCTACAAAGGCATGTTACACATAATTTTACTTAAGCAAAATAATTACGTGTTTTAAAATTGAAAGGTCTTCTAAATCAAAGATTTTCGGAGGGTACACAGTGCTAGAGGGATTGAATCAAAGAATTTCGAAATTCGTCTACTCTTGTAGGTTATTAGGTTTCATTCGCTACTTAAAAGCTTTTTGGTAGTGAGTAGGTACTCGTATGGAGTGCTTTGAGTAAATGAGTAATGGATTATCTAGAGAGTAGTCTGCGTCCACTTGTGAATTAATAATTTTCGTATTTGGATCTGTCATCATCAACCGCCTATAAGTGGTCATACATACATTCATAACTTCACGTCTGTCTGCCTTTGGGGTAGGCAGATACTATGAAACGCCAATTACTACGATTCCTACAACCTCTTTCGCTTCATCAACAGTGATCAATCTTTTATGCATGCTCGTCGGTTAAGGGTACTTTTAATTTGGCCTCTCTTTAATATATCGCCAA